TAAATATCTTTTACGTAAACGTAAATTAATTAATTCTTGTTTTAAATCATATGGAGGTGATGGTTCTTTTTGATTAAGTTCAGTACGAAGCTGAATAACTTCAGCAAGAATTTTTTCTCGTAAATGTTGATATTCAGTAGTAAGATTGGAATGTAATGAACTACCAGTAAAAGGATGATTATTTGTAAGCCAAGATGATTCATTTTCATTTGTAAGAGATAAAAATGACTTAGCAAGAGTTATATCATTTGAATTTATATCAGGATTTAAAGAATAGATTTCATCAATAAGAAAACGAATATCTTCTTTTAATTTGTTTAATTGATTTGTTACTTCGGATAAAGTTGAATTAGCTTGAACAATCGAAATAATCTTTAAAAGAAAAATATTAAATCAATATATTTCAATCTATCTTGTTCCTATTTCTAGACGTGTGATTCGATTACATATAGCACCACAAGAAGATGATGGCAGAGATGAAACCGGCCTGAGTTTTTGACTACCGGTACTGGTCGGAGTAGGCCAGATCAGATCGGCCGATCTGAAACTCATGTCAACACTGAACTGATGAGTTATTGTACTACTCATCTGTGAATATCCCAATGGGATAGTAAGAGCAAAAAAGATAAATAAGACAATGGTAGCAGTTCCATCTCTGAATGTGGATGACGTTTGAAAAACGAAGATATGCTCCATAGAATGGATCCGTAGATGATCTCGCTGGTAAATGATAATCGAATGTTGACATTCACATGTTGAATGTATCAAAGTTCTACGAAAAATGATGTTCACTGTCGAATAATGAAAGTTGTAACAGACAGAAATTCCAAAATAAGGACAAAATATAGAGGATTATGGGAAATTTTTCAAGCAACTACTACTTATTCATTTTTAAAGCTTCATTCTCAATTAGAAGAGTTTACTAAACATTCGTATTTATACTCAGGTCTAATATTTCTTGTTCTTGAATAGATTTTTAATTATTTTCTACACTTCCCTGAATTATTTCTCGATAATACTAAGAAATTTTTTTGTCAATTTTATTTTTCAGCATGACGATCGTTGATGTACAGTCATCATGCAATAATAAAAAGGACTTTTGAGTCTTTGTTTCATTGAAAGATAGCTGTGTCAAGAGTAAGGTGAGACATTTTTTGAAAAACATGTAGATACGAGCGGGATTGATGTTTTGTTTTTAGTTTCTGTTCGGATAAAAAAAAAAAAACGTAGAATTCTACTCTTTTGTCAAAACCGCTATCTCAAGATGTTTTGCTATTATTCTGCAACACATTTGGCTTTCATATCGATCTTCTTAGACGATCGCGAGATATTGAAAAAGAATGCGATCTAACACCACGTCATAAACACGTTATAGCCAGAACATTTTTTCACTATTAATCGTATATATATATGTTGTGGTCAAAATTAAAATTCAGTCAAATTTAAAATTTGCCCAGTCAAAATTAAAATTTCAATTCTGCCTAGGCAAAATTGAAATTAGAAGTTTGCCCAATGAATTGTTAGTCAGAATCGAAATTTTAATTTTGACTGGGCAAAATTAAAATCGTTCTCCAATTGATAGAAGAAGATGAATATAGTGTGTGGGATGAGAGTATGAGTGAGAGTCAGAGCTCATCGGGTCCATTCGAATCCGGACTCATGCTCGCTCAGTCTCGGGTAGGATCTACGTCTGAAAAGTTTTCAAGCTTGCCGGGCCCGAGTTCGATTCTGGATTTAGAAATTCTTCGACCCGATAGATTACAATACAGAGTATTTTAAAAATCATGATCACATTGGAAAACTAAGTAATTTCACTCCAGTGCAGTCTGAAGAGCTCACTTTTTGCGTAATTATGAAAGAATGTTTGAAGTTCGTATGACCATGAATGAAACTTCCTAGAAAACTTAAACCAATCAGTTTTGGGTTCGAGTCCCCGGAAGTTTCAATCAACCAAATTCGGGTCCACAATATCTTGGACTCGGTGGACTCTAATGATGTGAGGATGAGGATGTGAAGAAGAGCTAACAAAAGAAGCAACATCCACATCGTCACCCAAACGTTTTTTGCTCAACCAAACATCTTTCAAAAGAGATAGTTGTTCTTATAAATTAAATAAAACTAGGACTTATTTCATCTTTGCCGAAAATATTTCCAAATTCTTTTGGATTGAGCTCGTTTATTGTGTCACTCGGAAGTGCTTACAAAATATTTCCGAATAAAAAAAATTGTTATACTCAATTCTTTATCCTTTATTATCTGCTTCTATTGCTTAGAGAACGATTTTAATTTTGCCCAGTCAAAATTAAAATTTCAATTCTGACTAACAATTCATTGGGCAAACTTCTAATTTCAATTTTGCCTAGGCAGAATTGAAATTTTAATTTTGACTGGGCAAATTTTAAATTTGACTGAATTTTAATTTTGACCACAACATATATATATGTTATGCCGAGGTTACACCGTTTGTCAAAGTTATTGAACATCAACTAAACAACAGATAGTAATCGCTTGATTGATGATATTATAAACAAAACACGTAGTTTTTGTTCATTTTTTCTTTTTAATTACATAAATATTTAATTTTATAAGAATATACAAATAGTATGAGAACTTGTCGAAAAACTTGAGGATTCGATTTATGTTGATATTTTAGATTTTTTTGTTGTTAGGTTTCGATCACACTATATTCTGCCATTAATAAAGTTGATCCTTAAACTGCAGTGTTCTAGTTTTAAATAAGACTTAAGCGGACAATTACTTTAAAAAATTTTTTACATATGAACAAAATGACCTATCGTTGCCGAACCGTGCGAAACCCTAAATTTAGTTGACTCACTAATTTTTATTATGTTTTAGATTTATTTGCA